AGTGACCGAGGCGCCGGGGCCTCTGCCCACTGCTGTGACACTGCTGTCGGGCAGGGCACCTCGGACCCGCGACGGCGTCTCCCGCGGGCAGGACGGCGGCTCTGCCGTTTCAGGCCTCCGTGATGTGGGGCGTTGGCCACACCCTGTGACCCCGCCTGTCCTGAGGATGACACGCCGGCTGCCAACGGCAACGCCAAAGAAAGAAGAATTCGGACGGAAAAGTGTCAAACGCAGGAGGGGAGCCTGACGCGGGGGCAGCGGTAGCCGTGGGAACAGAACGCTCCGTCTGTGAGGCGCGTAAAGCACACCTGTGCGGTGCGTAAAGCACACCTGTGAGGCGTGAAGGACACGCCGGTTTTCTTCCCGTTCATCCCTGAGCCCGTCATTCAAACAACGATCCGCTATTCGGCCTCCCTCCCCACCTCCAGGAAACGGGTGAGCGGACTCGCCTTCCCGAGCACACCTCGGGGGGCACGGCCCCTCCTGGCTGCACCCGCGGGTGCCCTGGAGCTCGCCCCTTCCCGCGGCTCAGGCGAAGTGCCAATGTCTGCGTCCACCGCAGAGAGCGGAAGGTGACAGTGGGGCCCAGAGGCCCCGCCGGCGCCCCACAGTGAGGAGGAACAGCAAAGGCCACGAGGCCGGGACAAGCAGAGGCCACAGCAGGTGCCACAGCATCCGCGAGGGCTGCTCAGTCCCTGCTCTCGTTTACCACATGACTCGCTTTTGATACCCACAGGGAAAAAGAATGATCGTCCACCGACGAACTTGGGGGTGGCACAGATGTTTACAGTAATGGCGGTGACGGCTTTAATCGAGGGCCACACAGTCTTCAGTGTCCCTCCCTCCACGACGTGGAGCAGACGTCCCTCCCTGGAAACGGGCCGGACTTGGAGACCCGCTTCCGGAGGACAGAGTGGGGAACGCGAGAACCACAGCTTTACGGAGGAGGAAGCCACAGACCCACCGCAGCCCAGTGGTCAAGGCCACATGGTCGGCGACACGTCCCGCTGTCACCCGGTGCCCCTGATGTGACGTGAGCGAGGGGCACTTCAGCTCTGGGCAGTCTTCCCCAAGTCCAGAGCCTCAATCTGATCAGACGGACGCTGGCCTAGGAGCATCCTACAGAGCACACAGCTCATACTCTGCACAGGCGCCCAGGCCTCGGAAGACCGGGAAAGACCGAGAAACCGTCGCAGATTGGTGGTGATAAAGGCAACGCGATGACAAAACGCAGCGTGGGATCCCAGAATGGATCCTAGAACGAAAAATGAGGAAACCGTATAAAGTCTGCAGTTTGGTTAACACCAGCAAAAGAATTGCTTAAAACAGGTCACATCTTAAAGATCCATCTCGCTGAGCTTGGTGGCTTCGCAAGGCCCATCTCCAAGGCTCTATCGCGTTCATTCCTGCCCGCCCAGGCTCCAACCCGCCGCAGGCACACACGGCTTCGCAGGACCGTGGGCCGCGCGCGAGGTGAAGGTCGGACAAGGACAGCTGTTTGCTGCACCTGGCAGGGTGTGTTAATGCACCCAGCGCCCTCCCGTCCGAACCCCGCACCCCACCAGGCAGGCTGCACGAGGCACCGCTCTGCACACGCGCCCGCGTCCCCTCTGCCCCGGCGGCGGGCCACGGCCTGAGCAGAGCTTCGAGGGACACCGGCCGCCTCCCTCCGCGCAGCCGGCTGCCACGCACGGGGCTCTGATCACCCTCGCTGCCCAGTGAGGCCACGTCCCGTCGCTGGGGTCACGTGGAGTAGCGCGCACGTCACAAAACACGTCAACGGAGAAACGCCAGGGAGAAAAGTCCCAAAAACGAGGACTTGGAAACGGAAGGAGAACAGCGCAGTCGCGGGTTTTCACGTGAACAAGACGACGCCGGTCTCCGCCAAACCGCAGAGGGTTCCCGTCTGCGCTTCCGCCTGCGTCCATGCGACAGGCGGCTCTCCAGCGACTCCTGGGTGCCAGGCTGGGGCTCCCGCAGCCCGAGGGCCGGCACAGCCCCACACTGCACGCGGGGTGCAGAGAGCCGCCGAAAGCAAATCGTAACCCAGTGATGAGTGTGACAG